TGCGATTTATCATCCAGAAAGGTCGTAATGTTAAAGTTTGATGTAAGAATGAACTGATATTCCGAGAATGGACGCGCGACGTTGACTCCTGCGCTGCAGAAGTAGGGAGGCACGTGGCAAAATATAGGTGACAGCCACACAAATGAGCTTGAATGAGCTCCGCGATAGCTGAGTGATGCGATGAGTCGCACAATTTGAGCTAGTGAAACTATTACAGCCTAGAATTCACAGGTGGTAATCTGACCAATCGTTTCACCGATGATATTCGTCTCTTGCTAGAGTAAAGGAGCATCCTGATACCATCTAGTGTGGTATTCATAGTGACTGAGCACGTGCGGATTTTCTTTAGCTGAGCCACTGCGATGTAGGTCTTCCCTCTTCACTCTCTAGCTACTCCACCACCTGTCCTCATGTGATTATCAGATTCTGTTATTCAACTAATGACGTGGTGTCGAGCACTAGAGTGTAGAAGGTGGAACATTCTTCACTGGATGCTGTTGGGGAGTTAACTCGCATGTGTTGTTCCTCTGAGAAACAGAACAGTTGTTTCTCATGATGCGTGAGAAACTTTCTCACGCATCGTGAGGATTGAATTGAAGCTTCAGATCTGTAGTACAGATTCTGTACAATAACAGCTCCATAGCGAACATTAAGTTAACTTCGACTCAACATTGTGTCGACAACAGGTTCAGAGGCACCGTTTAGTGCTAGTGGCATTGTGCCTCCGACTCAGTGACCATGTGGAAAATCAGAATCTGCGACTCTTGCACCGGCGGCCTTGTGCCTGTCCTCCACCGACCTAGCATGGTTCATACGAAAACAATGCTCACGAAAACAGTCACCTGTGTAGCCGCTCCTTGCCATCCATGTGGTATCTATAAACTTTAAAATATAGCTTTCTATGACTACCACGTTCACCATTGCGAGACAAATACCTCTTCCTGTCCTCGTTCATTCGAGCCACCGCTTCTAGTTTTCGTTCTCTTGAGAGTTTCGCTTGGATGGCACGCTTCTCAAGACTTCGTTGCCGCTCTAAGTTCAGTGCTGCAACTTTATCACGT